GGACAACAAACGAGGGGCTGTGACAAACTGTTTCGTATATATATATATATCGTCACAAATAGAATATATATATATATATATATATATATATATATATATATATATATATATAGTCAAACAGAGTTGCCCAATAAACCTGCAATCAGACTCGCTTTCTTTCACACTCCCATGCATGCAAACAGGCGCACAGCAAACTGGCGACAAGCGCCCACACAAAACTCAGAGATATGGTCGCCGAAGACACAATCCAGATACAAGTTCACTTTCGATGGCTATGGCGACTCAGCGCCCAAACAACTCTCTGTTTGCATACCCCGGATCACCCTGGATATCCCACACGCGTTACTCTACACTCACACACACACACACACACCACACACTAACTCTAGCTATGGCGGCTATGGACGCTACTACCCTATCGCTATGCGACGCTCCTTCTCTCTTGCCCACTTCAGCTCCGGGCTCACTGCAGACCTCCTTGCACAAGTCGTTGTGGCAGCGCTTCCGCATGGCTCCCGCAAGAATGAATGAATGGCTGGGCGCTGCCTCTTGATTTATACTTCTGAAGCTCGTTGGTCATCGGCCCATGGTGCTCACAGTCCCTCGTGGTACTTGCTGGACCGGACTGGGACTGACTGGACCTTGCTGCTGACTGAATGGGGACTCACTGCTAACCGGCTGGGGTCGTACTGCAATCGGACTGTAGTTAGTCCACCACTGGGCTCCCCACTTGCCCACTTCCCACTTGCCCGACCTTCTAGAAGGACTACAACTCAGACTTCTGGAACTCGCTAAGACTTCTGTTCTACAGACCTACAGATTGAACCCCTGCTACCTACGGACCCTACGACAGTCTGCTAACTGTTACAAATACACAGGTCATGGGTTCAAGCCTTGGGGTCGACACAGATATTGTACACCGGTAGGGTAAGGGCTAGGGATCGAGCCCTAGGGGCTGCATCTGCTACTGGAAAAGGTGAAAACCGTTTCACTCCCGCCGTCCTAAATTCGAGGTCCTCCGATAATATCTTAGTCCAAGGTAGGACCTTTACCCTTCCTATGACGCTCATAGGCTCTGACTATGTCGGGAGTTGTTTCTAGAAGTTCAGTTCTAGTAAACCAGCGGTCGTCCTCTGGTTCCTGATAGGCAAACCGGACCTTATACTGTTTCTGTGGACGACCTCTACCTCCTGTCCTAAACACATCTTCATCTACAATGCTGTCAATGTCATACCTTCCATCCATATCCGGAGGGATTATAGATCTTCTTGAAGGGAACTGTTGGCTTGTGACACACGACAACAGTTTTGAAGCATGGAACACCGGGTAGATGTGGAGGTGTGCTGGAATCTCTATAGTGTAGGATGGTCCATCCTCTCCGCCCTTGACTTCTAGCACTGGCCACGGTCCTCTATATGCAGGCAATAACTTCTGTGAGATGTTCTCCTCAGGTGCAAACTCTTTAGACTTGACCCAGACCAGGTCGCCTACCTGAAACTGCGATGGGCGACGGTGCTTATTAACCTGTTCTATCATGCGGTACTGGGCCTTTCTGAGGTTTTCAACAACAGTTGCTAGCTCTCTCTCGTGCTGTATCACAAACTCCCTGGTTCCGAGCGAAAGCCTGTGAATCTGATCCCGGGTAAGTCCCTCAAACGGTCTGCGGGGTCTAAAGGACTGGTGCAACTCGTTGGGAGTGCAACAGGTAGACAAATGCACGCCGTTATTGTATGAGCTGGCTACCTTGGGCAACATCCCATCCCAATTGACTTGATCCGGTCTAATATACATGCGCAGAACTTGCTGCAGGATCTTGTTCATTTGTGTTGTCTGACCGTTAGTCTCTGGATGACGGCCAGATGGCATTAACAACTTTGACCCATAGACTTTCATCAGTTCTTGCCAGTTCTGGCTGGTGAAGCGGGTGTCTCTGTCACTAACAATGGACAAAGGAACCCCGTGATCACTAACCCAATGGTCAAAAAACTTATGAATGACTAACTCCGTACGTGCCTCTGCAGGCAAAAACTGCATATTTATTGAATCTATCAACTATGACCATGACTTGGCTCTTGCCGTCTCTGCTCTTGACACCGTCATCCATAAAGTCGATGGAGACTGAATCTCCAGGTTGGTCTGGGATAGGCAAGGGTCTGAGAAGACCTAGAGGGGCACGCGTAGTGGTCTTGTTCCTCTGGCAAACTTTGCAACTGCGAACATACTCTATGCAGTCAACTTTCATTCCTGGCCAGGTATACGCACGCATCAGATTGGCTAAAGTCTTTTGCCAACCAAAGTGTCCCTCTGCATCGTGGCATTCCCCTAAGATCAGACTACGGATCTCCTCAATGTTGGGAATGCACAGTCCGTCTACTACATTAGTCTTTTCAAACAATAGTCCTTCAGTAGTGCGGTAGTGTGGTTCGGTCTCTGGGGCCTCCTTAACTCTCTTGAGGAGGTCACTATAGATAGGGTTCTGCGCATACGCCTGTCGAACTTTCTCTTGCAGGTCCTTCCCTATATCCAGATGGTGTACTAAAGCTCCAAAGTAGTCTGATCTCCTACTTAGAGCATCCGCAACTACATTGCACTTGCCTTTGATTGGTTTGAGCTCAAAGTCATACTGGTCTATCTCAGCGGCCCACCTAGTCAACTTAGGTGTCATCTTGGCCTGACTCTTTAACCATCTAAGCGTTTCGTGGTCTGTCTATACTTTGAAGTGCCTCCCAAGTAGGTAATGCTTCCAGTGCTCTAAAGTCTGCCTGAGAGCGTAGAGTTCTCTCCCGTACGTTGAGGTGGCTACCTTCTCTGAGGGCATCCTCGCTGACATGAACTCTACGGGTCTGTAGCCATTGCCGTCGTCTTGCTGCAACACGGCGCCTATACCATATTGACTCGCGTCCGTGGTGGCGACAAATGGCAAGACGGATCTGCCACTTTGAGGACAGGGTACTCTATTAACGCGCGCTTCAGTTTCTTCAGCGCAGATGTACAGTCTTTATCCCACTGCCAGATTGCCTCTTTCTTAAGCAACCTGCGCAAGGGAGCGGCGATAGTAGAAAAGTTCCTTACAAACTTTCTGTAGTAGTTAGCTAGGCCCAAGAACGACCGCAATTCGGTCAACGTGCGGGGCGTCAGCCAGTCTCGAATTGCCGCTATCTTGCTATCCTCCGACTTAATGCCATCTCCATCTAACACGTGGCCCAAGTACAAAACTTGTGTCTTGGCCCACTCGCACTTCTTCGCATTGATCTTGAAGTTAGCTTCTCTGAGCTTCTCCAAGACCTGCCTCAAATGACCCTGATGTTCCTGGAGGGTCCTACGGAAAACTAAGATATCGTTTAAGTAGACTACGACGAACCTATCCAACCAAGGTCTAAACAGATCATTCATACAACGCTGAAACGTAGCTGGCGCGTTGGTTAGTCCAAAGGGCATCACTATGAACTCATAATGCCCATATCTAGTCCGGAACACAGTCTTGTACTGGTCATCAGGGTGAACCTCTATCTGATGATAACCGGAGTTCAAATCTATTTTTGAAAAATACTTGCAACCCTGCACCCGATCTAAAAGATCGTCTATCCTGGGCAGTGGTTCAACATTCTTCACTGTGATGGCATTCAAACCCCTATAGTCTATGCACATACGTAACTCTCCTTCCTTCTTGGGGACAAACAAAACTGGTGCTCCAAAAGGAGATGAACTGGGCCTAATCCAACCTTTCTCTAGGAGCTCGTCCAACTGTTTGCGCAGCTCCTCTAACTCTCTAGGGGACATACTGTAGATGGCTCCCTTAGGAGTTCGACTGTCAGAGTCTATCTCTATCATGTGCTGGATCGGCCGCGGCACTACTCCTGTCGGCGACTCGGACAAATCTTTGAACTCCTCCAGCATCTTGGCAATGGTTGAATCTGTGTAACTAAATTCTTGCTTAGGCTCAGTGACAGGTCTAATATATACTACAAAGACCTGATCCTCTAACTGCTCCTTTTTCACCAGTCGCGCGAATGTGGGAGCACTGAGACAGCAATGTGCTAAGGTGTTGTCTACACCTGACACATGAAACAGGCGGGCAGTCTTAACCTCGCCTGATGGACTAGGAAGCCTACACTCATGCTCTCTCAAGTGGAGTGTGGCCCCTGCTGCCTCTCCCCAATCCATTCCTAACACTATGTCAAAAGGAAGGTCATCCTGTACGAGGAGAGTCGGGGAATGGAGAACTTTCTCCACCTTCCCATCTTTCTCTAGGCGAAAATAAGCCTGGACTCCCACTACGTAGTCCTCAACACGCATCGTGCGGTTGTCTGCGAGGACACTGACTATGGGGTCTGCCAACTTTTGGAATTTCAATCCTAGCCTCAACTTCTTCAACGCTCTTCAACTAATATAACTACGGGTAACCCCTGAATCTATAAGGGCTCCTACTCTACTCCTTAACACCTCTACATCAACTACAATTAATTGTCCCTTGCTCTCCTTCTTCATTTTGGCCTAGGCCGACATTCTCTCCTTCAACTCTTCTGCCACGCCTGTGAGGGAAGTGCCTAGAGAGACGCTAACACAAGCAGTCTCTTGACAGCTAGCTAGGCACTGGCCTACAACCTCTGCCATAGGCTCATGTGGTCTGGGAGTTTCTTGTACGCGCGCGCTCGCTTCCCCACATGGCCTTGAAGTAGGGGCAGTTGCGACCCCTACTGGCGGCTGCCTTTTGACTGCTGAGCAGCCCATCGGGCCTGTCTATGCTTAGGACAAAATTTAATTACATGGGCCGGGACACCACAAAACACGCACTGACCCAAGTCCACGCATTCCTGCCATACGCGCTGGTCCAAGCCCAAATCTTCCCAGGGCCTGCCTTGCGGCAAGCCTGGGTGCCATCCTCCTTGAGGTGGCCTTCTACCTCGTCGCTACGGGGACCGACAAGAACTCTGACGATTTGGCGGGGGACCTTGAACCCTACCTCCCACTTGGCGGTTCCCTTGTCCACCAACCCCCTGTGCACCCGGTCCTCGGCCTCCCGTGGCCTGGCCCCTTTGGCCCTGGCCTCCTCCTCTACCTTGCGGCCTCCCTCCAGCCGCGACAGCAGCATAGGACCTCCCCTGCCCCACGCTACTGTCCTCATCTTCGAGGCCCCACTCGATCTGACTATATGGGACCTCGTCTGTACCACCTTCCTCTAAAGTAAGGATCATATTGTCCTTGGCCCTGACTTGGCCAGAGATGGTACGACCCTTCCACTTTTTGCCTTTATCCAAGTCCTTGTGCCAAAAAGTGGATACTGGCATGGACTTTGACTCGAACAGGACCACCTCTCTACTCAGCATATCATATGTGGTGTCGGCCTGTTGAGACTTATCGAAGAAATGCCCATGCAGGGGCTCTGACATGGCACGATAAAATAACTGGACCAACTGGGGCTCCGTGACCCCATGGTCTGGGACGGCTACCAAGTTGTCCATGACGCCCTTGAGTGCTCTTGCACTCCTCCACTGTCGTGAGTGGATGGTCTGTAACTTGTCAGAGGCTCTAACGCCTCTCATTGGGTCCGCAAATCTCTCCCTCAGGAGTTTGAAGAATTGAGGAAGGGGGGTGATCTTAGAACATGCAACCAGGTTGTTTTCACAACCGGCTGCGACGCGAGAGATCTGGCAAAGCTGGCCGCTTCATCTTTGAGGACCTGGAAGGCGACGAGGACTTGTTCCTCAGTCAGGATGTGCTGTAAGTATACGTAACTATTTACGCTCGCCTCCCAGTTATCAAAGTTTTCCTCCTTCTTCCCGCCATAGGCGTCTGGGAACTTAAGCTTGACGGGCTCTTTATGGGGCCTGGCCTCACTCTCAACAGCGGCAACGACTTTGGCACTCTCGATGGCGCCCTCACAAAACTTTCCCACGTTCTCTCTTAACTGCCTAACTTCGCCCCCTCACAAAACTTCCCCACGTTCTCTCTTAACTGCCTAACTTCGCCCCCTCACAAAACTTCCCCACGTTCTCTCTTAACTGCCTAACTTCGCCCCCAACGTGGGTGACCATATCGCGCGCAAAATCCCGGAATCCTGACAGCATGGCACTCAGGGCCACATCGTGACCCTAGTTGGCTTGGCGCTCCTCCGTCCAAGCCTCACTCAACACTTCCAAGTATCCCAACATCTTATCCATTTTGGCAGAAATGTTTGCCTGCGCCTGCACCTCTTGTCTGCAGTCTCTCACCTTTACCACCTCTGCGATCAACCTATTAACTTCCTCCCTCCTTCTCTTCTTTTCCCTCTTCATCCTCAGTTTCCACTCCAACTTTTTCTCCTCCTCTGTTTCTTGCCGTTCCAGGGGGTCCTCGATTGTCGCTAGCTCCCTGGCTAGCGCGTCCCTCTCATCCTGTGGCACATACATCTCTGCCTCCTCGTCTTCCCCCAACGATAAGTTAGCAATCCACTCACTAATCTTCTTCTCCATCGCTGCCTCCTCATTCGCCGTGCCACTACTCTCCCCTTTTACTTCCCTGCGTTTTCTCTCCTCTTCTGCTTCTGCTGCTGCTTCTACCTCGGCAGCCTTTTTCTTCTCCTCCATCTCTTTTTCCAACTTCTTCATCTTCGCCGCCTGCTCCTCTGCGATTGCTTTTAATTTCGCCTGCTTTAGAAGCTCTTTCCTCTCCTTATTTTCTCTCACTAAGGCGGCCATCTTCTCTTGTTGCTCCTAGGTGTAGGGGCTAGTGCTCTTCCCACTACGGGTCTCAACCATGGTGACAAGTGCACAACCGGATTGACGGTTCCAAACCTCACCACGTAAACTCTAACCCCTGACTGACAACTTACTGACTCAATCTAAGACTCACAGAATCCGGACAGGGATCCTATCAACTAGGGTCTCTAGCCTAGACCTACTCTAAGGCTGTCGCTACTAGACCTGTTGCTGATCAGGAGGCATTTAAGGAGATCCCCCGTAGCTCCTCAAGAATTATTTAACGTCGCAAACAGGACGACGCGATCAGCAGGTCTCTCAATACTTAGACTGCTTGTTGCACAGCCCACAACTCAGCCTTTCGGGCCTACCGTGCCACACCGAGCAGCGCGCCGGTCTATACCAGTCCTTGGGAGGGTTAGGCCTCTGGGACAGTCAAGTCGTCAGACACAGTCTTTAGCCCTACTTGGTCCGACAGGGGTTTGGTCAACAAGGCCTATCCTTCATCCACAAAGTACTACCACCTGGACAGAAGAGACTCGATGCAAAAAGAAGAGACAGACAAATTGGACTCAGCAAGTACCACGGGGTGTGTGCTCATCCATAGGGCGAGGGATAGGCTGAGGGCTTGGCGAGATTATACCGGCTCCAGCTTGGTCAAAATCTTGATCAACACCTTAGTCAACCCCTGGTCAACGCTCGGTCAATGCTCTGTCAACGCTACAGTCAACCCTCGGTCAACCCCCGGTCAACGCCGGTCAACCCTGGTCAACGCCTCCGATCAACTCCCCGGCTATGGTGGCCGGCTTCACCTTCGTCGCCACCCTTCACCTCGCCTCTTCCCTCTTCACCCTGACTGTCTTTTTTTTTTTTTTTTTTTTTTTAATTGTCTCTCTCTCTTCCTCTCCTCGGCTATGGCTTCTCTCTCCTTGCTCAGTCTCTCCCTTTGTCCACTCTCTCTCCCTCCTTCGTTACTCCGTGGTCAAGCTCCGCAGCTACGGCCTTCTTCTTCTTCTTCACGGGACTGCACTTTGCAGGTACGTAACAACCAAACTTGTATCGCTCA